AGCGAGAAAGAGAGAAGTTCGATTGTTTCATCTGCAACCTTGGCTAACAAATGATGAATCTCATTGAATCTCTTGAGGCAAATTATTTCGTGTAGCCGTGGAATTGGACAAAATTGCGTAATTAATCCTTTTTCTCGGCGAGAGGGGAAGACGAGGTGTCGTCACAGTAGACAGTTATCCACTGTGCGCCGCCGGCACACTTTTATGAACGTAGGATGAGATCGTGGCAAGGAACTTTATTGAATTTAAATGAATTCATTTATATGCTAATTGACGAGCTGGCTGTTCGAGGCTAGGGCCGAAAATCGCATGAAATTTCTAGGTTGTCTACGATGTACCTCGGACGATTTGAAATCTGGTTACATCGCTTTTCCACTGTTCCATTGTACGATTTCAGATGTAATCTTATAAGTTTCGCGTACGTGTACGTATGAAATAGTTCACGAGGAAAGGGAAAAGTAATTAAGAATTGGTCTCTGTCAAGAAATCCGAGACGTCGTGTAAAAGTGGATCTTTAATAGTATCTCGATAGATTCGAAACTGTGTCAAGGTTTTTGGTCATTATTGTCACCCAGTTTTCGGTGCAGTTCGAGGGAAATGGTAGAAACGACGTGTTCCCGGGTGTGACTGAAAGACAAATTACTCGCAACGAGTCTCTGGACAGGCGAGAAATCTAAAAAAAAATTGTATTTTATTTTAGTTTGTTTCTTTTATTTTATTTTTTTTTTCGTTGAAGTCGAAATTAAATTGACTTCGATTTATTATAATTTCAATCAAATGACTCGCCCAGTTAAAATACAATTACACCTAAATACATCTGAAATCTTTCTCGTACATTTCCTTTTACTTTGTTGTAACTCGAAAGTACTTTTTCTACAGGAGTGGAAAAGATACTGCTGGAAAATTGCAAAAGTTACTTAACGCTAGAGTTAGCTGCGATTAAAGGAGATATTGATGAAAGTAAAAAGAATAGGAAACTTTACGACACAATGAAGTACACAGGCGTTTTACTTATACATTTTACGAAAAAATCTAAAATTTAAATCTCTGAAAAACACACTGTTTTACATCCAAATGTAAAATGATAAATGATAAACTGATTATTTTGACCATTTCTGTAACAAAATTGAAATTTAAATCTCTGAAAAATACACTGTTTTACATCCAAATGTAAAATATTCAAAAATGATAAACTGATTATTTTGACCATTTTTGTAACTAAATTTAAATTTAAACCTCTAAAAGAAACACACTGTTTTACATCCAAATGTAAAATATCCAAAAATAATAAACTGATTATTTTGACCATTTTTGTAACTAAATTTAAATTTAAACCTCTAAAAAAAATACACTGTTTTACATCCAAATGTAAAATATCCAAAAATAATAAACTGATTATTTTGACCATTTTTGTAACTAAATTTAAATTTAAACCTCTAAAAAAAATACACTGTTTTACATCCAAATGTAAAATATCCAAAAATAATAAACTGATTATTTTGACCATTTTTGTAACTAAATTTAAATTTAAACCTCTAAAAAAAAAAATACACTGTTTTACATCCAAATGTAAAATATCCAAAAACTGATTATTTTAACCATTTCTGTAACTAAATTTTTACACTGTTTTACATCCAAATGTAAAATAGTTCAACAAAGATGACGAATCGATCACATTTTGACCATTTTGGTAGTTAAATTGAAGAAGAAAAGCTTACGAGAAAGATGAAATGATCAGCGAAGCTTGAACACAAGCGTGGAGATATAATATTTTTAACAATATCCCCGTTCCATTAACATTATCCAGCGGAGAGGACTTTTTACTCTAGAATTAACCACGCGTAAAAATTCCTGGCATTCACGACGGGAGGAAAGTTTAAAGGTTTTAAAATTGAACTCGCTCTTCGAGACAAAAGGGATAAAACAAGCATCGTCGAGAATTTTAAAAAGTCTGCTCTTCTTTTTCTTCTTCTTCTTCTTCTTCTTCTTCGAAAACTGAAAAAGGTAGTCATTTTCGAAATAATTTTAATTTTCGAAATAAACTCATCTCCTACGTACCATCGATTATGGAAGAAAATCGAGTTCGAGTTTGTTTGTAATCCAGAGAAGATGGAAGCTCTCACGGAAGATGAGAATAAATCGCCGCTTATTTTGGACCAGCCAGCTGCGCCCTTCCCGATAATTGGTTCAAACACGCAGCCTCGGCATTCAAGTTTCATTAATTCCGTCGTCACGTTTTTTTTCTTCTTCTTCTTTTTTTTCTTTTCTTTTCTTTCTGGTTACCTGGTCCCGATATCATGAATTATTCGTTCGTCATTTGTCTGCAACTTCTGAGCGAGAATAGCTGATGCCGAACAGTTGTTCTCGCGTGAATTTCAGAGCACCGCGGAAACTTGAAATTCTGACTTAGGCTAATCGATTATCCAGGTCGATAATCGCGCGGTGAACGCGTTAATATTTATGACGATGAATGGGATGATTTTAGAGGCGATCGGGGAATTCGTCACCCCTTGTTTCTTCGTTTCACGAAATTTCTCCAATTTTCAGACAAAAAAAAAAAAAAAAAAAAAAAAAAAAGAGAAAAATATTTTCGTGAAAACGAATCTGTCAATAACATTATACCACGTATGAAAAAGTAATACGCGCGATGGCGAATTTTCGATAACGTGTCGAGTTACGCGATAGTAATACAAATGATATAAAAATTCGAGAAGGTACGTTGAAATGAATATTTGCGTTCTTTTACAGCTTCTGCCATTCCCTATTTTGCACTATGTGTTTGAACGAATTACAAAATATTTTTTAGCAATTTAAAAACCAAAGTCGCGCAGAATTCACCATTGAATCGGTTCACGAATTACAATTGCGAAAGTGATTCAGTTAAATCGATATTTCGTTGCATTGTAATACGTGTAATTTGTAATTGTAATTTGGATAAAATACGAAGTACTTTTAACAATTTAAAGACAGAGTTGCGCAGAATTGAATCGAATATTATAATTGCAAAGTAATTCACTTAAATCTTACAGAACACTTCGTTACATTTCAGTTCGTAATTCAGTTCTTTCGTTTAATTCAATTGCAATTTAATTCGGTTTTACGATTGAATTACAACGGAGGAAACGTGGCAGACTTAGCATTTAGGTGTGAAAAAGCGAAATGATCTTTGAGTGCTGTATATTCAATTTATTTAATTATTATATATAAATTGTGTTTAAACTATATTTAATTAATATATTTAAATATTTATTATAATATTGATCTATTATAGTAAATAGATTTTTGTAAAATTGTATTTAATTATTTGGTAATTGCTGTCTGTCTAACAATCTTGGAAAGAAATAATAAAGTCGAGGATTAAAAATATTTTAATATAATATTTAATATAATTATATTAATGTATATTATATATTATATTTAAATAATATTATATATTATATATTATATAATTATATAAATATAATATTTAATATAATTATTATCAATAATTTTTGAAATATATTTTATAATTATATTAATATTTATATATAATTATATAAATATAATATTTAATATAATTATTATCAATAATTTTTGATTATAACCATTAAGCCATTATCGAAAGTAGCTACTGCATACGTTACTTCTGTCCTTAATTAGTGAACTATATTTATGGAAATTTTAGATTTTGCCAAAACATATCATTTACTTTCACGAGAAATAATATCTCGAGAAAATTAGACGCGTCGATGCTGTAGATTCCTTTATTTTCGACTTTTTGTTCCATCCAGTAATCCAGGTCTTTTAATTGAAAACTATTCGTTTCAACGCGAAACTGTCCAACGTTTTTCGAACAAATTTCAAAACAATCTACGAAAAAGTCTTCTCATAGTTTCGCTTAGAACAGAAAGAGGGAGAGGGGAGAAAAAAAAGAGAAGAGGGAAATAGTTGATCGAATAGTACGTCACGAGTAGCAAGGTATTTCCACGTGGAGTCGCGCCGATTGAAAAACAAAGTTTCGATTCGGCTGGATTCCAGTTTAAACTAGTCGTTGGCACTAATTAACTAGTTACCGAGGCACGCAAAGATAATTTGTCAGCGTACGGCATGTCGCGCGCGCTTCCTTCCTGTATTGGAATCGATTTCGGAGTTTAATTAACGAAGCTAATTTCTATTCGTCTACAATTGATCTGCTGCCATCGGTACCACGATCGCAACGACGATCAAGCACCTCGGCCTGATCCGAAATTCTATGCCGCGTAATGTACAATATAATATATTTAACGTTGCGACTTCGTTCCGTTTCATCTTGAAAATTAACCGACTGCGGACCGTAACGAGTGACCGAACCGTATACAGCAATTACGTCGCTTCCTTTTTGACCTCGTCGTTATCATATGATATCACTGGATAGAAATTACTGAGAAGTGATAAATTTCTCATTCGCTTTGCCCGGATTATATACTTAAATATACTTGAAACTGAGGAAATATTGCAATTTTAGGGGGTTATTGCACAATCAAGGTTAATTTAACTTCAAACTTACTTACCTCTTTCTCTGTGTCATTAATTTTCTCTGTTTTTCCTATCCTTTTGTTGTAGAGAACTTTTAATTCTCTCTTTGATTGGATTTTCATCATTTTTTGGACTCTGCTGTTTATATCTTCTCAAATTTAATATTCACCATTGCCTAATGTTTTCGGTGTTTAATTTCCAAGTTAATTTTTATTCTTAATTTTTCTTCTCTTGTTCTATTTTTAATTTTTAATTCTCTCTGCTTTTTTTTTTTTTTTTTTTTTGCTTGACTGAATTTTATCATTCTTTGGATTATTTAGGCACACTCGTTTTGAAAGTACAAACATCATTTCCTTAAATTTAATATTCATTATTGCTTACGGCAGGTGAACGTAGGAACAGTTTTTGAGATCAAATTCAATCTTATTACTGTTTTCGTTTCATTTCATTTCACACGGTTTATGGTACATATATAAATAGTATATCACGATCTCTGTTTGTTTCAGGTGTGTGCGGTTCACTATTCGCAGAATGCGCGCAGAAAATCCAACAAGGTTAGTTCGCCGCTTCAATTTCATTTTCAGTCAACATTTTTTCGTAATAAAACGAAAAGATAAGAATGATAAAAAAAATAAATGATTATGTTTGATGACATGACACGCAAAGAGAAATATACGGAGCGGAGAGAGTTGCGAGATATTTTATCATCTTCAGCAAGTAATATATCACGCTTGGGTATTATTTGAATGAAATATTTGAAACATGATTGATGAAACGATATGTCTTATTTGAACAAGCAAATAATTTCCCTCTAAATTATGTTACGAAGCAATTTTGCGTGTTTATTTCATTCCTTATTTCATCTGTTTCTACAAACAATTTCTGTCAAATGGTCAAACAGTTTCTAATTCCGTTCGTATAAAATTCCTTCTCACTTCCGCTTTGTTATTTTATTTATAGTGAATTAACTCAAACGAAAGATTTTTTTGCAAACGATTTATTTGACTTGGACTCAAGGTGAAGTCAACTTTTCCTAAGTTATATTTCAAGTAACAATGATAAATCTGAAAATTTGTTTCTTTTTTCTTTTTTTTTTCTTATCTCTATTTTCAATAAAATTTGCCGAATCTTTTTGACATAACCAATAAACAAGAAACATTACTAAGTTGTGTCTTTTTGACATAACCAATAAACAAGAAACATTACTAAGTTGTGTCTTTTTGACATAACTTATAACCAAGGAACATTAATAACAATGTGAATCATTGTACTGCGGATTTTTATATAATTTGATGTGTTTTTGATTACATAATCTAAAAATACACTGCAACATAATACATAACATAAATACGTAAATACGTGACCTAAAAATATACGACCTACATGGAAAATTTCACTTACTAAGAATTACAACGAGCCATTTCCACTTTGGATATTTTCCACGTTCTTTTATGTCACGTACATTATTACGTGTTTCAGCATTTTTAAATCTCTCACGAACGCATAGAAAATCTGCGTTCTGTCAATCGTGAAACGCTGAAACACTCTCCTGATTTCAGCGGAAATATAATCGCTGTATAATTCAAAAAGATCTTTGAAATTTATCTTTCTATTGAAATATATATTTAACAAATATATATTACATCTGATTTATACAAGGTGGGCCAAAAATCACTTTAACAAATATATATATTTAACAAATATATATTACATCTGATTTATACAGGGTGGGCCAAAAATCACTTTCTACTAAAATAAATAAAACTTTCTTTTGCAGATTTTTGAAACATAGTGAAAAAATCACTTAAATTTAATTTAAAGTCAACAAAATTAGTTAGCTTTCTTATACTTCGATGTTTTATTAAAAAAAAAAAAAAAATAGGTGGGAAGAAACTTCTGACCCACTCTGTATATTATTTCATCATCTAATATTCTCTATTATCTGACATAATCGCTCCGAAAAAAAAAAAAAAAAAATAATGTAAAGTGAATGTACGTAAGTTAGTTCCAAAAGATTTTTCTATTTTCCATTTCTTTTTTTTTTTTTTTTTCTTACTCGAGCAACTACGAAAAAATAATTAAATAAAATGTTTTTCGAACGTTCAATTAAAAGGTGAGATCGAATCAGGTGTTGTAACGCGTCTGACCGGCATAAGAGGTCGGGCAGCGCAATTTTTTCGATTAATCGCACCGGCCCCATCTAATTTATAGGTTCTTAGTTACCTTGGCAGCGAGTACGTCATAACTTCGCCAACGTGCAGACGTGATGTCGTCGAGACGTAAAGGGGATATTGATTTCTCAGTTCGTCGCAACCGTCGGCACATCGAAATCCAAATGTTATAATGAATTAATTCGCGTCCCTATTCACCGTGACCGCACTGTCACGTCTGCACATACACGCATCATATCCACTGTATCCAGAGCTGTAACGTCATTTCATAATCGTGTTCATCCGCCTATGTACATACGTTGGAATGATAGGTACCTAATGAGGCCATGTGTGATTGAATTTACGAACCTCCGAGCAAAATAATTGCAGGGGAGAGATTAAAATAAAATAAATGGTCAAATTGATGTTGACACCGAGGCCGACGACTATTAAAGTGTAAAATTTCCATCGGGGACATTAAAGCAAAAGGGGAAAAAAAAAAAAAAAAGAAAGAAAAAAGCCTTTCATTCGTCACAGAAAAGAAAGAAAAAAAAGGGAAACGCGCAGTTGGTTTTTGGTTTTTGCCCGATTATAAGGGAGATGGAATTCTCGATCATCATCGTAGATATTCCCGCGTATCAGCCGTGAATTTGCATACGCTACCGGTCAGTAACCACTGTCATCGAGTAAAATGTAGTCTCAATTACTTGGAATCCTCTTGCCCGGCTCTGTCCGAGAGCAATTTAGAATTCGAATTGATATCACTTCATCGTGCACCTTATTAATTGCACGGGACGACGTTGAAAATCGATAGGAAAATCGCGCTATTTTCTTTTTTTTTTTTTTTTTCTTTTTTCTTTCCTTTCTTTTATGAACGAAAGAGAATCCGAAAGTGAGCAGTGCTGAAACAAAAAGTACTTGATATAGTAATTGAAATCTATTCTTATTGAAACATATATGAATAGTTAATGAAATTCTTGTTGAAATATACTATTCGATATACTATATTAAAGAATACTCAATGAAATTCTTATTCAAATATATTATTCATATTATTCATAATTGAAGAATACTGTTTGAGAATTTATTTTTTACTCGACAGTGATACGTAAGAATGTATCGAATGTGCGAGTGGGAATTATTAATTATTTAAGACGTATTACAAGTATATATTATACTTATATTATATATTATATATATAATACTTAAGTTATATTATATTATATATATAATATAATATAACTTTATATTTATTATATTTATTATATGTATTATATTTAAGTTATATTACAATATATAAGTATATAACTATATATAACTATGACTATATAGTTATATAACTATACATAACTATAACTATATAAGTATATATAACTATAACTATATAACTACATATAACTATAAGTTATGTTATAATATATAACTATATTATATATTATACTTAAGTTATATTATAGTATAATAGTATAAAATTATAGTATAACTTAAGTATAATATATATTATACTATAATCTAACTTAAGTATAATATATATTATACTATAATCTAACTTAAGTATAATATATATATAGTATAATATAACTTAAGTATATATATATATTATAAGTTATATTATACTATATTACAAGTATATATAAATAATAAAAATGTTTAAGCGTTTAACTAGAAATTGTTACTTGGAATAACATTTCAAGTTTGGAAACATTCATCGACTGCTTCAGATATTATTTCAGAGGGTAATGGACCAAAGGAAATATTGAATGAAAAATAAATATTAATGATATGATATTTCTGATATAATATCAATGATACAATATTTCTGAGAAAGGACTGAGAATGATTTGTCGCATAGATATATTTATATTTTATTTGAAATATCATTTTGTATAACACTGATAACGCAAGGTCGTGCAATTAGTCTAAAGTCTTTTTTTCTTCTCTACGTCACTTTGTATAGCTTCTTTTTTTTTTTTTTTTTTTCAATTTAGTGTACTTGGTAACTGGGACAAAGAAGTTGCTTCTAATTGCACGCGTTCAGAAATATGACAAATATTTGGAACGCTTACTATAATGTTCCCTCTCGTGTTTTTTTAGCTTTCAGTTGAAACTCTGCTTCATTAATTAAAACTTGTGGAAATTCCGTCCGATCGTCCGGAATCATTTCACGTAACTTTTTCTTCTTCTTCTTCTTCTTTTTCTATTTTTTTTAATGAATATCAGCCTATTACAAAAGTGAGAAACGAATAAATTATCTCTGCTTTCGTCTATCTAAAAGTTCATATATATATGTTGTAAATTATAATTTATAATAACGTATGGGTCAATAATATTATAAATTTACGTACATTATGTTCCCTGGTACTTTTATTTCTCTGCCTTTCGTTAGTTAGAATCATTAATATTCCTGATATTCATTTGTATGGCTGAAATTATGCGTTTTTTTACGAGTTAGTCTACCAAGTAAGTAAGTTTTATGGTACATTACAATAGACTGCGAGATTTTATGTGTCTTTAAATTTTTACGAACGTAAATTAAAAATTTTTTTTTCTTACGTAACTGTGGAAACAGAACCTAAATGAAAATTTGTCTCGTTTGCTAAATGTTTTACTCTCACGACATTTACGTATTTCTAGGCGTATAATTTCTTGACATATAATACTGCATATTATTTTATATGTAATATACTAGTATAATAATATACTACATACTAATGCATTTTACTACGTACACTAATATACTACATACTGATACACATATTGAAAGTGCATTATAATATACACATATTCACATACACACACTAATACATATAATATTAGTGGATTATAACATATTAAAATATAATACTAATATTATTATGCTAGTATTAAATGTATTATATGTATTATATAATACTAGTATAATAATATACTATATGCTGATGCATATTATTATATATATTAATATACTACATACCAATACATACTGATGCATATTATTATATACATTAATGCACTACGTACTAATATTACACATATTATATGTATTATATGAGACTAATGTGCATATTAAAGGGTATAATAATATTAGTCATTAGTTAATATTAGTAAATATAGTATAATACTATTAGTATTATATTATATATACTAGTATAGTATAATAATATTAGCATATATACTAATTATACTAGTATTGTATGCATTATATAATACTAGTGTAATAATATAGTACATGCTAATGCATATTGTTATATACATTAATATACTACTACACATATTATATGTATTATATGAGACTAATGTGCATATTAAAGAGTATAATAATATTAGTCATTAGTTAATATTAGTATATATAGTATATGATATATAGTATATATATGTATATAATATAATACTAGTATATTAGTATATTAACTAATAACATACTA